ACACACACACACACACACACACACACACACACACACACACACACACACACACACACACACACACACACACACACACACACACACACACACCTAACCCTTACGTCCTACTTTCATCATGACTCACCACTGACAACTGCTGCTGTTGCATTTGTTCATTTTGTGTCGGCAGGCACGACACTGGGGGCTGAGGGTGCAGACTGGGAGGGGAGCTGTAGGATATTCCAGGCTGAGGAGGCTGGGCCTCAGGCAGGATGGTGGAATTAGGTACTCTGTCTCCAATGTGACCAACTGAGGGGCACATGAAGGTGAATTTATATTAAACTCTAAATGTACTGATGTGGCTGTAGGTGTATTTGACCATAAATCATCTGTGATACAAACCTCCTCCAGTGTGCTGAGGCTGTTTGTGTTGGTCGGCTTCTAGCTCCTCTGACTCCGGCTGGATGGTGGCCACACTCTGACCCTGAACTGGGACTTGCCCAGTGGACTGGGGCACAAAAGGGATCACTTGAGCCATGCCAGTCAGTTGGTTTGATTGAGTAGTGTTATAGTTCGAACTGGCAAGGTTCTGAGATGCAGGTTGAGCAGACATTTGTGGATTGTGTTGGTGTGGTTGTGGAGGGACAAAAGACGCAGTCTGAGGCACCGGCTGGGGCTGAGGCACCTCCGTGCTGGTGAGTTGGCCTGGTTGCTGTGCAGGCGGCAACTGACTCTGCTGCTCCTCTTCCAGCCGTCTCTTCTCTTGATTTTCTCTGACCTTTAACACAGTCAACACCAAAAGTATTAAAATCTCTAAAGAGCCCTTTAAAAGGCAGGTCACGTGTGTACAAGCTCCCATAATTACATACAATCTATGACAGATATGATAACATATGATACGCTGTGGTTAGTATGGACACACCTGCTGCCTCTGCGCTCTCTTGCGACTGATTAGAGACACCCTGTCCTTTATGGCCTTCGCAATGGTCTTGTGGTCACCTTCACACACATACCCAGACTCAACCTACAGCACAAAGACAAAGTAGAAGATAGCAATGACAACAAAACTAATCTTAACCTTTTCTTTTGTTGAGCAGTGTGAATAAGTGTTTTTTTAAGACTTTTAAGTTCAATTCACCATTTCCTGAGCCACATCTTCTGGGACATCTTTGTTGAGGTCAAAAGAAAACTCAATAGCTTCGTTGTCTTTGTACTTCCCCTTGAGTTTCTTTACATCCTCAATTCTCAGCCACAACTTGATAGCCTCCATCTCTCCATCATCCTCTTCTGCCAACTCCACGCGCACCCCTGTGTCCTCCTGGAAGAACGCATGGTTCAGAAGGTCCTTGATTGAATACCTAAATAGAGGAGACAAGCAGTGAGTAAATATGATTTCTTCAAGAACCTTGATGGCCCTCAACTTGTAAAATGTTGTCTTGATATGTTAAAGACCTCTCATCCTTGTTCTGGCGAATACAGCCCTCGATGATCTCCTTCACTTCCGGAATGGCCACCTTGTCGAAGCTGCCCGGCTTCACCCCCTACGGGAAACACAGAACCCAGAATGAGAATAGTTTTCATTCTCATTTGACCTTTTTTTATTTTGGCTAGTCTCCCATTGTCGTTGTCGTTTTCACTTCAGACTCAACATTACAAAAATAGTTAATATCCTAGATGACTGAAATAATTACTGCCTTAACTTTATCCTTTAAATTTGTTTTAGAATTTATTTTGCTGTATGAATTGGAGAGGGTTACTCCTAAGAAACAATCTCCATTCGAATAATATCAAAGGGATGTTATGCATTCTGTCTGCTGGCATTCAAAGATTGTGAAATGTCAAGTGATGGGAAAAGGAGGGCGTGAGTCGGTGGAGGACAGCTGATGAGAGATGATGAATTACTGCAATAAGCAACAGGAAACTTCCTGGTTCTACAGGAAAAAGGACGACGATGAATGGATGAGAGCTGCACAGCTGTGCTGAAATAAGAAAATAGGAAGAACAGCCTATATCCCTAAGGAGAGCTACTGTAAAAACAGAGGATGTCACACCAACTATATGTAGGATCTACAACACAATATCACTTTGCTTCTAAACTGAGGCAAGTGTGTCTGGTGCTCTACACTTTGAGCTACTAGCGTCTCGTTAAAGAACAAAATAACTCCATGCTTTGCTCTGGGGGGGAATGAAAATGTTCTGTTGAATAACGAGGCAAAGACTTCAGAATTTGTGCTTATTTAGTTAATGATAAACTGACATACTTTCTAGATAACAGCCTGAGAACAGGTTCAACTTCTTGAATCTATGAGACTCCTAACTCTATGAATCATATCAGTGACCATCTATTTCAAAAGTGAACTGTATGAACAACACTAAAAATATGTTGTTTTTCCTTCTGCAATGATGAGAAGACTGAACTGTTAGAGAAACAGCAGGGCTGTGCTTGTTCAGTGCCTTATCAATCATCCACACCTCATGTCTACATGTTTAACCAACATACACCACACTGCAGAGGAAAAGAAAAAGAAAAACAGTATGAGGTGAAGCAACAAGGCTTGTTGTGTTAATAAAATGTTTTCTATTGAAGGTTTTTCAATAAGGGCAAGGGGAAATTATCTGGGAGATACAGGGCTACATTCAAGTTAAGAAGTGAAATACAACACTAGAGGACAGTAAAACAATATGAGCTGCATAAAGAAGTAAGAGCAGGGATATACAATGATTCCAGAATGGGACACTAGCCTTCTTGGCACATAGGAAGAGGTGAAGGCAGGGGCTTAGGGGTGACGTGGATGGTTGAAAAGAGGACTTACGCTGGTAACTCTGCGGTAGATCTGTGCAGCATTCTGGCACTCTGAGTAAGGGTACTCTGAGGTGGCCATCTCCAGCATGCACATTCCAAAGGCATACACATCCACTGACTCGTCGTACTTCTCCTCATACATCTCAGGCGCCATGAACTCAGGGGTACCTTAAATCAGAACAACTATTCAGAACTCTCGAATCCCTTACTGATTGAGTGGGGTTCTCACAACCCATTGCCCCTCTGCTCCTCTAACCCGTGAGGGGTTGAGGAAGAGGAGGTTGAGAAGAGTGACCAGCCTGCTGACATCTCCGGGGGTAGAACCTGTGAGGTGAAAGTTGGAAGAGAGAGAGAGAAAAAAAAGAAAAAGGGGAAGGAAAGCAAAAAAAGAGACAGAAAACAAAAAAGGAGGGAGAAGCCGGGCTCAGTTAGACTGCAGAGAAGAAGGCACGTGTTTGTCTGTGTAAGACCTTAACATGGTGCGACATAATGTGACTGAGGTTACCGATATGCAGAACACACTTGTTAGCCAGAATGAATGCTCTTTACATTCAAAGATTAGCTTTAAAATTAGGCACTTTATATCTGGGCCAATTTACAGTGTAATTCCAAAAGGATGCCAATGATCTGGGTATGAAAATATGACTAGCTATGGAAATAACTTTTGTCAAGACCTTACCTTACAACCACATTAACATTGCCTCTTATATTACACTTACCTTTGGAAGTCTGACTTACCGTCTCTTCCTGACCTGCACGAGGAAACCGTTATGGTCAAGGCTGAGAGAAGCAGGTCCCATAGCTAGTTACTGTGTTGAGCAGTGTGTCCATGCATATCAGTCTTGCTCTATTAATTTATTATCTTACATTAAATCTCAGGTCTTACACAGAAAAACTGATTTGGTTATTTGAATGTAATTGTTTTTGATATTGATGTATGTTACAGCACACTGTCAGACTTACCAGGCCCATTAAAGTTCATACTTACTCAATGACCAGCAGTACCCTATTCATTCCAAACAGCAGAATGGGGCACAGCTGAGGCTAGAGCCTACATTTTAAAAAACATACCCAAGAATGTGAAAGTAAAAAAAATTAAATAAAAATATAAAGGAAATATAAAAAAGGCAAGAGGCTGACAGAGAGAAAATGTGGAGAGCTCCCTGGACACAAAGGAGCAAAAACATTCTGCAGTCCTGAAATATTTTAAAAGACAGTAAGAGACAAACACTAGGGGCAAAAAACCTGTTGAGGCAAATCCATAGAAAGAGATGTTAAACATTACAACCGGCAAACAGACCACATATTTCCAAACCACAGAACAAAGACCAGTCTACGACAGAAGCAATGGCCATACCTTTAGCCATGGCCAGGTTAGCCTGCAAGAAGGCATGACAACCATTATAATACTGATATTAATATTTAACAGTATGAGAAATGTTTGGCGCTACTTACATTCAGTAGTTGCCTGGAAAAAAACCCTCTCTTTTTTTTGGAGAAACATGGAACAGAAATATTCTGTACAGTGACCAAACTTGATACAAATACTGTGGGAGTGCAAAGAGCGAAAGCCTTGTGATTATCTGCCTAAGATTACCACATTTTTGGCCTCCATTTGAGCTGTGGTTTGAGAGACAGCTGAAACGCTGTGGTCTGTTTTTGAACCACATCGTCAGAAAAACAAGACAAAGGAAAATATATTCTTTACAACACCATCATTGTCAATACAAACAGAACACCATGACCTCAGAACAGGTACTGTCCCAAAGCAGGATAAAGACAAGGAGATAAAAAAGACTTCGGAGTCGTACCTATAACACTCTTGGCAAAGGATGCTCGCTTGAGTGTGGCCAGTCCCAGGTCTCCAATCTTGACAGATCCTGTTGGGCCTGTGATGAAAATGTTGTCACACTTAAGGTCCCTGTGGATGATTGGGGGAGCCCGAGTATGGAGGAAGTGAAGACCCTTGAGGATTTGTCTACACCAGCTCCGCAGCACTTTAATTTTCATCACTTTGAAACGCTTCAGATATCTGTAAAAAGGATAGATCAGAATTTTCTCATATCATCTTTGCTGCATTTTCCCAAAGTATCAAATGTAACACCGAACAAATAAAGCTAGTCTTTCCTGGAGACTTCAAAATAAAAGCAAATAATCTTTTTCTTTTGCATTCAATTATTATTCAATTGGAACTATATTTTAGTTTCGTAAAATTGCTACTTTGTTGAATCTAAAACCTGAGATAATTTAAAATGTATATGATGCTTTATCAAAATGATATAAGTCCTGTTTTGTGTGTTATCTCAGCCCAGTTTGAGACTCACGTTTTGAGCGTGCCAGATGTCATGAGTTCCGTGACCAGAACAATACACTTCCTGCCTTTGGAGGGTCCCTCCCAGGAGTCGTAAAAACGGACAATGTTGGGATGCTGCAGTCCCTTTAACATCCCTGCTTCCTCCTTAAAGCGCTGCCGCTCTGTCTTTGACAGCTTACGATCCTGCAGGGAGCAAAAGGGAGAATAGGAGATGTTTGAAAATTTCACACAAGTCAGAGGGCAATGCTTTTTACAGATGTGTACGAGGAACATTATCAGTATTAATGGCCATGAAAGTGTATTATGCAGAATCTGAATGCATTCATGTATTATAAGTCAGTCATCTTGACATTCCATGCTCATTCCATTGCTCATATACTCTGACTCAAGTACACACACAGTTGAGGGACACAGGGATGTGTCCCTGTTTTCTCTGGCAGACGACTATGTAACAAAAGGAGCGTGTCTAGCTTTGTCCCAGATCGGAGGAAAACCAAAACAAGTAAAGAGCCACAGTATTAGAAAAGATCAGTACAGTGCAGACTATGTCAAAAACAAACAAACAAAAACACACACTCTACTCTAAAGTAGATTTAAGCAATGTGAAGAAAATAAATTATAAATCACCATAACCAGAGGACATTATAAATATATATTATATCATGTCATGTGTATACATCTGGAAAAACACCTGCTATAACGCATGTGATTGATTATTTATTAGGAGCGTTCTTGTTTGGTTCATTCTGGTTAATAACACTGAGTAGCATTGTTCATTAAATCTATATTGATAGATGTAAATGATTATTACAAAGACTAGACCTTCAGATACATATTTATCTGTTATGAAGCTAATGTTGTGCTCTACAGGTTCTATACGCTGAATAAAGATATGGATGATACGAGTCGACAAATGTGTGGCAGCTGGTGGGTTTGTCAATTTCTCGTGGGGAAATGTATATAGGCCTGATAGCAATCTGCCCTGATGGATTTAACATTCCATAAAATGACTGGAAAATAAAGATGGATAAGGCAGAAATGCCTTGTGTAGGTTTGGCGTCTTAACAAAAATCTGGAATGTGTACAGGCACCCTTCTCATGTTTCCTGAGCAATTCCTGGTATGGCCTACATTCACAGCGTGCATGAGTTACAGTGAGGCAGTGAAAGCCCACAGCTAAAGAGTTTCCTTGAAAACCCTAGAGACCTGGCCATAGTCCAGGCTGTCCAGGAAAATCAGCCCATTGGAGCCCTGTGGAGAATACGTGTTTGACTTTGTGTGCATGTCAGCACCAGACTGAAAACTTTCCAGTGAGTGACAACAGGCAATGAAATACATTTTTGAGAGTGCTGTGGCCTTCGCTGGAGGCGTTCTGGAGGTTTGAGGTTGAATATTTGCCATATCTGAGACAATGCAGGAAGCACAAAATGAAAAGTTGCTGGCAAACCTGTAAACAATTAGGAGCAGAGCAGATGACAATAAATAAATTAAAGAAAATGTTGAGAAACAAGAGATCGAGAGAAAAAAAGACAAGTAATGGCGGCTCCACCATGTGCTTGGATCGAATGACCTACTTTCCAGAGTATTTATCTAGTGGGGCAGTGGCCATTTGTCTTTCTGCGCACCATGTGAAAAAGTCATGCAGAATATGTACAGCAGCAGTCATAGAGTTCGTGGACTAGGGTATGCAACACCACAACCCCCACACACTGAACTGCTGTATCAGTGGAAGCATTTCCACTATACATTCACTGACAAGTCCAGACCAGTAAAAACTGCATTACCTGTAAGATTTAATATATTCACTTGCTTGACTCACATCTACCTTAACCTCTGCATAAAAAAGACTGAGGAAGTTGTAGAAATGTGTGAAGTTGCATGCTAACACACTGCTATGACTAAAAGCACATTTCAGGACCTCTACTTAACAGGCGGCTCCAAATGTTTTCTGTACAGAGACCAGAAGCAAGCAGGTTTTACTTGTCAAAGATCATAGGACAACTTTAGACTGTGATGATGTTGAAATGCTGTCAGATAGCATTTACTTTGTGCTTAAGTGACCGTAAAAAAAATATTTAACTAATAGATATGTATGCGATATGTCTTATGCGGCCATCCCTCCTTAAAAGAATGTAAGGCCAGTAGAGTAGAGCAGGCCCCAGGACCAGAAAAATCTCTCCAGGAATTTACAATCTTTAAATCATGAGACATCCATAACACTCCCTATCAACTGTCACTTAAAAGGGTTTGTCCTGACTTAGCTCTGTGCCATGTGACCTGCTGTTGCTGTCACAGTTCCCATCTCAATCCACGAGCCCTAAGCAGCGAGGCCAAAGGTTACCTATCATCTTTTTTCTGCCTCATTAACTGGTCTTGAAAAATAACAGATTTAGCAGAACATTATTTCCCAAGTTTCCTTGCACCTAAAAGATGGTTACTGGATGAACAGATCAAGAAAGGTCAGGACAGTCGTTTTAGTGGAGAAAAAACTCCACACATTTCCAGAACATTTAACGTCCATTCTTACTGAGTATTTTAGGGTCAAACTTGACAAATACTGTTCTATGAAATACAAGATGTTGAAATTGTAAGAAAAGTATGGGTGTCTAAGATCGGCCAGAGAAACTCATGGGATATTATTTCTCTCTCGTTCTCCATTTTTACTGTGCGTCGTCACTGTAAGCTATTTAATCAAGTGAAATAGCAAAAGTAATGTTTTGTGCAGATTTTTTTGGCTGACAGGTGACTCAACCCATCAGCTGAGGTGGCTGTGGCTTGGTTATCCCTCCTTCTCTTAGACTCTCCCATAATTAACGTAATTTAGATTGAGAAGCTCAAAACCTCACCATGATGACCACCATTAGCAAAACCGAAAATCAGACCGTGTCCATATTCTGCACGCCCCTTTGAGGGAGAGGCAACAGCAGCTGCAGTTAAACCAGAGCAGCTTTATCTGACTGAAGTAATTTTTCCCTCTTTAGTAGTTGGGGTAGTGTTACGCAGTGTTTCCACAGATCACTTCCAACTAGGCCCTAAAAACAATAGTTCACTCTCTGTATCATGGATAATATTAAATACACTGGAAGGATCCAGCTGGCCCATTCCCAAATGGCAGTTGCCATAGCAACCAAGGTCGAGGCACAAACCCAATTCATGTAGAAGATATGATAAGCCCAGCCTACTGTTAAATGTATATAATTCTGCTGTGCGTCTTTTCAGCCTCAGTGTGAAATGATATGTTTGGCCCAAAAAGCTCTGCTCTGATTGGTCAACTGGCCCACTCTGTGGTGATTGGTCATCTGCTGAGTGTGTCTCAAAAATGTCATCCTCTGGGTAACGCATACCCAGAGGATGACATAGGTCATTCTGTTACAGAGGGAAAATATCATATTTCAGGATTCTACATACATTTGCCATGCCATCAGAAAGATACTGCTGGATATATTATTATAGTATTTTAACAATAATCATTGAGCCCCAATACTATCTGGACGTTCTATGACCTAAGGGTTAACCAGCCAATGTGAAACACATCTAATGCCAGTTAACTACAGTCTGACCAAAGTGGAGCAGAAAATACTGCTTCTAGGCAATGGCAATCATAAATAACCAAACAACACTAAAAATAGAGTGAGTGAAAAAAGCATGTGATCATGCCGAGGGCTGCCTCTGTCAGGTCCCTGCTCTGAGGTTGATACTGAGGGCTTGATGCAGCCCTTTGGGAGACATTGGTTGAGATCTGAGTCACGTCTGACAGCAAAGAAGTCATGTTGAGCAGTTCCACTTAGTTGTTTGCATTAAGCACAATGTGTCTCTATGAGTTACATGTTTGGTTTTACTGAGAAACCGTGATACATGGCAGGGAGGTCAGAGATCACTGTGACTATCAGCAAAAGACAAGATGGATCCAATCTATTTCACGTCTGCCTGTATGACTAATCATCTGATTTTGATAAAGTTGAAAACAAAACAATAAAAAAAGGTAGGACCCAGAAAAGCATCAAATATGAGCCACACACCATGAACAGTGACCGTATTCTCATTGTTGTTGACAGCCACTAAATGTTCACATTTTGCTGAGTGTGACTTTGTTGATTTGTGTGAATCATTAGCTTCAATAAATATTTTTCATAGGCAAGGCTTCTCCAACTGTCTTATTCTGACCACAGCCTGCACTTGTGGATAAATCCACAGATTACATATGTATATAATCACTGTACTAAAAAGGGACATTTGTTCCTATAGTTTTTTTTCAAGTCCAACTCAGAAATAAACAACTAAAACTCAAAATCGTACAGTTACCTCAAAGACTAGCAATGATGAAGAGTAATTACAGATGAGTCACTTTTCCACTATTTAAATATAGCATGTCACTCTCAGCGGATACCATAAGCCAGCTGGACAGGCAGCTCCTATAACTTCTGAAGGATACCTGGGGGTGTTGTGGGGGGCAGTGAGTGGAAGATGACATGGTTGAAGATGGATGAGTGAGCAAAAAAGGGAGGTGCCTGAATGTATTCCTCTTTAGTCCTCAACTTCCTCTCCGTGGTGACCTACTTATTGTTCAGACATGCCTGCAATGTGAGATCCGAAACAAATGGGTGGGTTCATGGGTGGGAGAAAAAGGGTGGATGTCTAGAAATTCTTAAAAGACTTGACAGATGGTCCCTCACATTAAACCAGGACCATATCATTTAAACTTTACACACTGAAGTTTTTAGTGATGGTTGCAACACAGCTTGAGGAAAAGAGGACTGGATGTTCATAAGTGAAATACTCAGAGTGAAATATCTTCAAATACATAAGACCTTGGTGTGCCATGTAAGACAAGTTTAATCTGTCCAACAGATTTGAGATATATGTTTTTATGCAAGGTCCCTTCCTACATGGTCCCTTTTCCCAAAAATAAATCTGATAAATTAAAAAAGTACAAAGTAAAAACACACTTGCTTGATCTCCTATACGTAAAACCTAACACCAGTGTAGGGATCTGCAGCAACACTGCATTACATCCTGACAGGACTGCCAGTGTTGGCCTGGATATTTTTGCCATGTTTGAGGAAGATTTAAAGATTTAAGAAGGAAAAACCTGCCGAACCTGTTGTATAAGCACACAAGTGTAGAGTTCTGCTGTTGCTGACACCAAATTCTCAATGAACAAACAAGTTGCAACCTTCTCCACCACTGATTCTAGCATCAATGGGAAGCAAAGCAATAAGTTGATTTACTTTGTAGAAACATTTTCAGGAAAATGGTCAAAATACTTTTATTGCTGTCAAACAGCAGCTAAGCAGAACAGGCTCAAATTGCATGATTGTTTGAAGAGACACTGGACAACTGAGAGTTGAACGATAACAAATACACACTATATGTATTTGAACATTATATTCTAAAAATATTATTGAAATGTGCCCTCAGGATGTATGTGGAATGTAATAACAGTTGCGTGATCATGGGACAGCTTTGACCACATGTGAGGGGATTTCAGCCACTGTGTGTGCAGTTGAACCATTTGTAGTACTGAAACTCTTGACAGAGGAACGAAGGGGAATGAGTGTCAGGTTACACGTTCATATTTCAGAACAGACCACAAGCCTCAAACAAAGCTGGTTCTCATTCAACGGTAAGAATTGCAGTAAATCTCCTCTTTCCACTGGATCGAACCGTAAATCCAAGTAGTACCTGACAATCCAGCTGAATTCTACACTGAGGGGAATCAATTTGCTCAAGTGAGCAAACAGATGGATGGGGACCATTTGATTTTAACTTGCCTTTTTCAAACTGATTCATGCCCCAATCTCAAGTCAATTAATAAATCATTGACTCAAGAAACAATAACTTATAAATCATAAATCACACAGGTCATTTTGCTCTGGTAACTTGTGATGTCTATCTATCATTAGCTGTAGCCCTAACACTAACCTGAAGCTCTTATCTAAATATCATCTTGCCATAGAAGAAATTAAAGTACTAACAAAGAAGATAAATTGGAGCAATCACTGTGGTTGAGTAACAAAATTATAAAAGTTCACGTGTGCTACAGCAGTTGGCCGATAAGCTGTTTTTTGATCAAAGAGAAAGAAAGAAATTATACAAGCTACAGTGCAATATTAACTAATGGCAGTAGCAGGAACTTGAGACAAAAAGAGTCAAGAAAAATTGAAAGCTGGGAGATGGACCCAAGAAACAGGCCTTGGCAGGCAGGCCGGCCCGCTGTGCTTCACACAGGAGATTCCTCTATCAGGAATGTGACCCATTTTACATTCAGACGAGCGGTCGGAGCAGAAACAAGCTGAGCATGCGCGTGGCTCGCTCTGTGTGAGGGGGGAGGGGCATGTGCCTTCAATCTTCACATTGTTCTGAGACCAGTGTGCATGAGCTGTGGCTGTATGTGCTGCTGTGTGAGGCCAGTGCCTCTCATGACAAGGGGAAAGCGTGACAGTAAAAGCAAACATTCATCTGGTGAATGAGGTCAAACTTTGCTATCGGCCACGTACTGTAGCTGGAGCTGCTTTGGCGAAATGCTTTTACACAAGCATTTCTAGAAAGAAAATAAAAAACTAAGATAAAATAATAACAAAAATAGAGAAATGTTTAAAAACGTGAATAAAACTTTTCCTGAAAAAATTGTAAATACTCTTTCTACAACAAGTCCTGGAAATTATTGCAAACTATAATCATTACAATGACGTCTTTGAGTTTTACTGACTTCTTACAGCATTTTAGATACATTTCCATCCTACCCTAAATAATTAATCTCCCCTTTTGCAGACAAGAATTTGCAATTACAGCATAATGTATTACTTTGATAATTCTGCATGTGTGGAAGAAAGATATCATACTTATATTTCAAAATGGCCTATAAAGCAATTTGCTACTGTGGAAACTGAATACAGGAAATCATTATCATCAAAACTCAATACTGCAAACTACCAGTGCAATTAAAAAAGTGTACCTTGACATCTACTGTGTCTCAAATGTTCATTCATTGATCATAAACATTTATTATACAAGCCTTGATAGTTCCTGGTATTTTGCCAATGTCTTTATGGGTAAATAAACAATTCTGACTTTATGTGCAGTCATTATGACAGCTGGTGACTGGGTAGTACCAAAACATTGATTCTGTAGGTCTTTGCTATGTTTTTCCGACAAATGCAAACATGGAAAATGATATGCATGTTTTTCAGAGGGGAACTGACAGAGGATATATCTCAGGTAACAATGTGGAAGAAAATTGCTTTAGCTCCATTCCACCATGTTTGGGCCTGGTACAAGCAGGCCTGAACATGGACAAGGTGGCTCAATCAAAGATCGTGAATAAGTGATGTCCTCATAACTGCTCATGTGATGACGCAGTGCACAGAATTCAAGTGAAAAATGAACTGAAAAGAACTGATAGAAATAAGTGATGGTTAAATATTAAGAACTATGGTTATTTCAATTTCATACCTGCAGCTCACACCAAGCCACCTCCACTGTGGTCTCAGTGTCCAAGCCCTTGTAGACGGTCTTGAAAGAGCCACGTCCAATTTCGATGTCAAACTTGAGGAAACGCCCATCTGGTGATGTTCCTACTGCTTTGGTCTCTGCCTCTTCGATGTCATCCTGCACTTTTTTCTCAGCTTCTCTCTGCTCAGCCTCTGCACGTGCCTTAGCAGAATCCTTATCTTCTTCTTCCCCCTCTTCTTCATGATGTGCCTTCACTTCTGTGGTGATTTCAGTTTCTGTTTGACTTGGCACTTCACTTGCCAAGCTTGGTACAGAGAGTGACACTGCTACCACCACCTCTCCGTCACAGATATCTCGTATATTGGCAGGCTCCCGGTCTAAAGGCACTACTTCCACCTTAGCTATTTCTATATCTTTTCCTTCCACTACTCCTCTGCCACTATCAGCAGACTTTTCATTCTGAGCTAAACTTGTTTCAGTCCGGGGCAAATAAGCAGCAGTAGCCTGCTGCTGCTGAGGGACGGCTTCACGTAGGTGAACCCGTTGGGGAGCAGGGATGGGGATCTTGCTGGGTAAAGGGAGGGCCAGTGCTGTAGCATTGGAATCACTGATGACACTGCGACGCAAGAAACGGTGTTCAGGGTTGCATCGATCACGCTCCATGGTGTGATGCCGCCGTCTCACATCAGCCATCGGGCGGCACTCACTCATCATTGAATCAGAACCAGAACTGGGGCCGTTTCCACTCTTCTGGGGGGGAGCCAGGAACTTCACCATTTTATCATCTGGCTTTTCCGACATCCCACCACCCACACCAAGAGTAAGCGGGTATAACTACTGAAAAATTAAAAGAAGGATATTTCCATGTCCGTCATATAGCCTTATATAATCAATATTTATCTCTGCTTTAAAGAGAAACAAGATAGAAAGTCTTCCAACTTCTATCTCTGTCTTTTTATTGCTCAGAGTCTTTATACATATAGTACAGAGACTGCAGGTGTAGGATGGGAGGTGTTCTCTTGTAGATAGAAAAAGATTGAACACCGCAGCAAGAGACAGTGTGTTGATGTTGATTTATGAGTCTCTTTAGGTCCACATCATCCATCCTGTCAGACTCAGGGTCCAGGTTCTCTCAAGCATAAGGAATCACTGGTGAGGAACAATTGCACAACCTACGACAGGCACCAAACTTCCTACTGCAGGCAAAGACAGGATGACCGGACACTCCAGATTTGTTCCAGTCCAGTTTCACTGTAAGAGAACAGAGAAAAAACAAAGGTTGACTGACGTGTTCTGTAAAGTAACCAGCATTATGTCAAATGTCAACAAGATTTGTAAGAGACCAGCCTAAGTGTTCACAAGTAGAATTTACAGTATACATAAAGTTTAATAACTGCTTTACACATAAGCACAGCTGACACAAACCATATAACCAGTGTCTCGGACAATACCTAAGTCTACTGCTTGTTTACATGAGCATTAATCGTGTGCTGCACTGAAACAACTTCATCTAGTGATACACTCCCTCTCTTTGATAAGATTTGGTGCCTTGCCGAAGGACGTGTCATGCACAGCAGGGCACATGTTCTCCGTCACCATGACTCTACTGCAGGTCCTACACTTTAATCACATCACACAGGACAATATTATCCAACTGAGCCCAAATCATTAAAAACATTCCACTGATTAGCAAAGCTTGACATGTGTATCTATATCAAGTGTAATGGTGAGCATAGAAGGAGGTAGTGGGACTCATTCCAAAGTCATTAACCAGCCCTTTGCAGTGACACAGTAACCTCTCGGTGCCCCACGTTTTGTTGAAGAGCAGAAATAACTAACTGAGCACAGATGACAGCTGATTTATTCCCAGTCTGTGACAGCAGGACGACATCATACACAGAGCTACTTATGAAGTTAATGATCAGTCTGATTAGCTGAGATTAAAGCCATTATCTAAACAGCTTCCGTACATTACAAGCTAAATCCGCACAGGTCCATCGCAACACTTACACTGAAGCAGCAGAAGACAAGTGTAATAATATCAATCGTTAACAGGCCTGCAATGACAACCTTATTACTTATTACCCATCGATTTCCCCTGACACGGCTGCAGCCATTTCCAGCGCAGAAAACCACAATGTCAAAGCCAAACCGAGGCAACGCTAGCGGCAATAACCTCTCGATACACAAAAACAGACAAGATTCGTTAGCTTCATATTTTAATTCGAGCACACACACACCTCTCTCCGTGCGCACTTGTCTCCTCGCAGGCTCCTACGTGACACCGGGGCCATCTGATACTGCAACATCGAGCATACAAAGCGAGGAGGAGCAACGGCTCTTTGTTAGCCTGCTAACGGCCACAGCTAGCACACATAGCGAGTTAGCTGTCGTTAGCTAATCCTTAACCAGCCATGGGTGATTTCCACGTCACGTCTGTGGAGAGCAGACCCCGGGCTGTGTTTAGAAATCCGGGGTGCGTTTTGTTTATTCCACGCAGCGGCCCGGTGTTATCACGTGTAACACATTCAATTTAACGTTTGTGGTGTATTGACATCTCTCCCGTGTCACGTCCAAAGCTTCCGCCCCTGGTTGACGAGCATTACACGCCAGAGCTATAACAACCGGATACGTTGGCCCAGTGTGACGCCGGTTGGAAAGCTCCCAGGCAGCGAGATAGCGCCAGAGCTACACGGCGAGCTAACGTTAGCTAGGCGGGTCGGACCGATGGCCTACAGAGCCAGGCCCACCTCCCAGCTAACCCCCATTCAATTCGACTGGAGAAGAACAACACCAGCGCTGGATCTGATGATATTACGCAGTGTGGAATTATAATTTATAATTTAGAATGGCTGGGCTTATCCGACTGGGACAAACTAACATGTATTTGTATGAGTTGGATTCAGATTGAAGCCGCTGTAGGCGCCACGGACTGTAGGTAAAACGCTTGTAAACAGGGAGATTCAAGTTTAATAGGCTCCGGCGGACGGTGATCGGTTTCTGGCAGACGATCACTCCTCGGCACGACACCTGTCGGCAGACAGACAGCGACCTACCTCCGTATGGTATCCACAACACAGCTGACCGACGGGGGCGATCAATTCCTCCGCACAGCGCGAATCCGTCTCGGTGTAAGTGAGGAAGAGACACACGTGTATAGAGTCCTCCTGCGGGGAGAGGAGACGTTTGCCGGCGGATGTCAGAGTTGAGATTTGTGAGCTCTCTCTCAAACAAGCGGAGCTGTTGCTACATATTGACCCAAGAAACTGGTTCTTCCCCCGGGCGCATGCGCCGGATAGGGATGACATCACCAACACACGCACACATTCATGATCAGTGGTTTTTTTTTTTATCCAGTGGTTTTAAGTAAAGTCGCACAATGAATTCAACAACAAACAGTGAATGTTTAAAGATTAGAATGGTCAGAATGAGGCAGACAAGAGAACAATAAAAATAAATAAAAAGTAGACATGTTGAATATGTACATAATATGCACATGTGGTGGTTTGTATAGAAATGTTATAAAGTAAAGCACAGTGGCAAGAGTATAAGAAGAAATGTATTCAAATACAGTTTGCCCCCACATAATATTTTGGAGCCTGTTAATTCAGACACTTTGAGTCAGTGTCTCTTTGTGGAAATGAACCTGAGGCGAAGCTGAATCCTTCACACTTCTCTTTTACTGTTGTGACTTTAACGCAAGTGTTTTATATAAAAAGTTTATTTCTATAAAACATTTACAAACAACCCCAGTATTGTGCTGCACAATAAAAGACACAAACAGACACAGTGCGGATTACTAGAAAAATATGAAATAACATAGACCAGAATAGAATAAAATAAAATAAAACAGAATTATTGAATTATTTTATTGTATAGCTCTTCACTTACCACTCTTGTACTGTTTTTCCTTGAACTGCTTCTTAATTTTCCTTACCTTTCCCACTATTTTTTTTAACGTTTATTATGCACCAAAGCAAATTCCTTGTTTGTTGAAAACCTACTTGGCAATAAATCAGATTCTGATGCTGAGACATATTTTAATTGAAATGTACTTTTGAGGAATATATGATATTACCATAAATGAATGTAATCACATAATGTTTTGCCTGAAAGCCTTTATTATAAATTATAGAAGATATAGACAATACTATCAAATATCAAAAGATAGTTAAAAATACAGGCCTATAGGACTTTCAAATCTGTCATACTGAAGTTGCTTAACAAATACTTCTACATATTGATATAAACACGTATGGATTATTTGTATCCAGTTTGGATTAAAAAATGATAACCATAATAAATAAACTGAATTCTTCTCATTATGTGTTATTTGGGTCAACCATTTCATGGGGTGTCATTTTCTTATAGGCAAGTACTGCCCCCTGGTGGTAGTTAGTGGTATTCCACCACTGAGGACAAATGTATTGAGTACTTACAAATATTTTTCCTGTTATTTTCTGGGGAAGAAAAATAAAACCATCATAACCATAAAAACATTTTTTTGATTTGTGGGTAAATGCTGGCTTGCGCGCCCCCCTTGCTGTCCAGTCCCTCCATGCCACACTGCCTCGTGACCGCGCGTTTAAAATTCACGCGTGGCGAGGAGGGCCGTCGTGAGCGCGCGCAGCAGGCTTGACGTCATCGAGGCGTCCTGGCTGTGCGCTGAGCCGCCGGAGAGAAGATGGTCAAATCTGAAACACGTCCGCGGCGCGATTAACGTAAAATGACCGCTGCTGCAGCCGATCTCCACCCGCTTCACCGAGGATCCACCGCCGGCACCGGCCCGAGCTCCACCCGACACCGAGGTAGTTGTGCGTGGAGCGTTTTTTTTTTCCTCCGGTGGCTGTTGTGTTAGCGAGGACAGGGGAAAAACACACACACATTAAACTGGACGGGCTAGCCTCCATATGTCGCTAAAGCTAAAGCTAACCGTTATGTTGTAGCCGTGACAAGAAGCGGACTCAGAGTGTTGAAAACCCGGGGAGCTGAAACACGAACCACCGCTGAGCAGAGGTGGAGGAAAATGGACCTGGTTTGATTCTGGGTGTCTCCGGAGCAGAGGCTGTCGACAGGATTGAGCAACACGCTTCAGATCTGCTTTAATGTGCCACAGCTTGACTCTGTATTTAAACCTCAGGTTGTGTCGCTCCCTATCTGTTTGCATTCATTTCTACAAGCTTCATTTTTTAAAATTTCCCTTTTTTTTTTTTACAATGTCCACCGTGGACGATCCCCCTGTGCCTCCCTGGCTATTTTTTAATCCACAGCGTCAGCACACTGGGGGAGAAAATGACTCAGAGATGAAAGATTTAGTCTCCAGAGAAAATGTGTTTACATCCGTGTGAGGCTTTAAGCGACAGAGGTTTGAGGATAACAAGGATTTCAAGGTGGGAATGTCAGCGTTTTACTGTTAGCCGGTGTGTTAACGCAACGTTAGCCGCTAGCAAGGCCACGCAGGCTGCCCAGTTAAATGGCTTTAGTGGGAAATGTAGTGAAAACAGAGCACAACCAGGAAGAGACACACACACATCCGTAACACAACTGATACCTGAAGTGTGTGTGAAGCAAACATCTCGACGCATTCATGTGGATCCATTAGGATAAAGCTCAAACTCCACATCTGTGTCATCAAGCACATCTGTTACAGGTCGAGTAGGAAACAGTCTGTGCTAACAGAGATCCCATCTGAGAAGAATTATTGTTCTTAGACATGACTTTATATACAGTTACATAACCGTCTGTACAGCAGGAAGGAATCCGGGCTGAGACGATGAAAGATTCCAGATCGTTCTTATTATGCTAGATATTAGAAAACTGAAATGTAATATTGCTCATTTGCTGGAGGTGAAGAGAAAACTGCTTACATGACCCACAGTGAACTCCAGTCTGCATGATGAAGATGTTTTTCAGAAGGGTTCAGACAAGGTCAAGACAATTTGACATTAACTGCTTTGTTACTGCTGTGAAATTCAATGGGAACATCTGTGTGGTTTTCTTTGCAGATTGGTGTCCTAACCTCGCTGCTGTTGGAAGAGGGAAGTCTTTTTTGATCATGAACCTCGTGGTGACCGTCTCCATTTGAAGCAGGGTCACCTCCACATCCTAACCCAGTTGTTTCAAGTCACAGCCACAAAATCAGCGAGGTTATAACATATACGCTCGTGGTCATAGTTCAGCGTTTAGCTCCGTTCTCCTGTTTAGCTGAAGATGTACAGCAGCGCCCGCTCTGTCAGCAGAGGGGATGCCAACCATAGTGGAGGAAGAGATGGAGGCGGTACCGGTAATCAGGGATCCGGCCGTTCTCCTCGCCTCCCACGCTCCCCTCGAATGGGACACCGCCGCACCAACAGCACTGGAGGCAGCGGAGGGGGACCTGGAGGAGCAGGAGGCAAGACGCTCTCCATGGAGAACATCCAGTCCCTCAACGCCGCATACGCCACCTCGGGGCCGATGTACCTGAGTGACAATGAGGTCGCCATGGCAGGGGACCACATTCCAAAAAGTGGAGGGACAGTGACCACCATGGGGAGACAGAGGGTGACGTATGGGTCAAGGGGCAGCAGCTGTGGAGTAGTGGCTGCCAGCACTCCCAACATCTCCACCTCAGTGCCTGCCAACGCTGTGCTGCCAGCAAGCATGATGGCCGGTGATGCTCTAGCTTTTGGGGACCACCACATGGCCTCCACCGTGCCCCATTCTCTGAGACAGGCCAGAGACAACACCATACTTGACCTGCAGGCGCAACTGAAAGAGGTATTTTGCTAAATTTCTCTATTATGGACGTCGACATTTAAGATGCTGAGGTTGGACCCATAATGCACTTGTATGACCAGTATTTACACGTGCTTCTTCTTTGCTCTGCTCTCTCAAGGTTCTGCGTGAGAATGAGTTGCTGCGGCGTGACGTTGAAGTCAAGGAGAGCAAGCTCAGTTCCTCTATGAATTCTATCAAGACCTTCTGGAGCCCAGAGCTGAAGAAGGAGCGAGCTCTCAGGAAAGACGAGGTTTCTAAGATCACCGTCTGGAAGGAACAATATCGTGTGATTCAAGATGAAGCACAAGTGAGCGTTCGCCTTTATTTGTTTTAATAGATTACCTCAAGTGGCTCTTATCTCCTCAAATCACTATTCTGAACAGAGTCATCGATCTTCTTGTGTCAGAGGTATATGACCCGGGAAATGTATTTCACAAAGTGTTTAAGCTTTGGTACAAGTATGTTGCTCTCCCTCTTTCTCCTCTCACTGTATAGGTTATAGGCATATTTTGAACCTCTAGTTAATCCTCTTATACGCAGCTATATGCTCATGCTTAATAGATGAAAGAAGTCGTAAGTCTAATGGCTGCATTATGATCGTTATACGTTTCAGAAATTGCTGGATTTGGTGAACAGGATAAAAAAATGTGGAGATTTAAAACTTAATTTAAAAGAAGGTAAATATGTAGTAGATTAAAGACTTTAAAAAAGAAAAAAGAAGGGTACCCTTTTGAGGTAATACTTTAGATTCGTGCCTTACATAGAATATTCAACTTAATCTTCTCTTGTGGTTTATCAAATGTTCTGCACATTTGTTTTTTTTACATCAAAATGAAACGACCAAAAATGAGATAAATGCATGTTGTATATTTGTCTTTCAATGAAGATCGATACCCACAACCAAGCACCAGGTGCTGGAGGCTCTCATTTTTTCTCTCAGTTTTCTCTCATTTTTCTCATCCTTGGCTCTGGATCTAAAAGTGTAGAGACATAAGCTTAACAACATTCCCATCAGTCTGTGTCACCTCACATACACATGTATAATTGATAGCAATAAGTGAATAAAAATAATCACCAGATCTATTTTTAAAGCCTATAGTATGTTGTGGGAACCGTCCAAATTAAGTTTCAGTAATGAAGAGAAATGGTCTTTGTGATTCTTAATGGAGGGGCCGACCTGTGTAATTTGCTGTGTTTTCACTCCTGCTGAGTCACAGAATCACACTGAGGACTAATTCCCAGTAATGTCCGACTACACAGGGCAAATTAGTGGGTGCTTTAATTTAAAGATTTCTGCTTTCGTGTATCAAGTCTCCACCTCCCATGCTTGCACACATGCAGCAGAAAACACGCGCACGCACACACATGCATAGACTCGCACATGCACACTGAAAGGCATCTGATTAATTATAGCCTCAGTGAAACTGCATGGCCTCACTGAACACTGGCCCAGCTGGCTCTGCCTACAGCTGCAGTTTTCTGTTTGTGTAGTTTTGAAGCATTTCTATGCTTTCTGTTCTGATGTTTGTTTGCACAGTGTTTCCAAA